TTTGTGTCGAGCTCCCAGCCAAGGTTAAAACTCATGCTACCGAGTGAGACGTCAGCGACTGCTGAGCTAGTGAGTTCGGGATCATCAAGCTTGGATGTTTCCTCGCGATATTTTCCCAGAAGAAAATAGAAGGCTTTTGCGTGCACCCCTTGGCCTGCGGGAGAGCACAGGTCCCGTTTAATTGACTCGCCTTCCCGATCTGTGTATTTGCCCCAGATGATACGAAGCGAAGAGAATAGGTCCGCATCGATCAACGACGGATGGAGAATAGGGCGGGCGAGGACTTCCGGTGAAGGAGGGACCGAGGGATTCGGAGGAATCTTGCTGACTAATGCAGCGGCGGAAGAGGTCACCCAAGGATGCACAAGAATTTCGGGGATCTATTCGATTGGTCAGTAAACACGAGCATATCATGTTTAATTCTCCTACCGTGATTCGCTGCTGAACATCAACAACCAACATACGAGATAGAAGGTTTTTTGCCAATGGATCCAGCGACTGGGGCATCTCGAAGACGCCGCTCTTCACCTTGCTTAGTAGAATCCCGACGTCCTTGTCGTCGAACGGCAGTCGGCCTGAGAGCAGAGCGAATAGGACGATACCGCAGCTCCAGATGTCTGTCGCAGTCCCTTGGTACCTGTGTCCATTAACGATTTCGGGACTAGCGTAATGAGGGGAACCACAGCTTGTCTCCAAATGAAGGGAAGGGGGAGCGAAGGCTGCCATACCCCAGTCGGCTATCTTGACGAGAGGCGGATTGAAAGAAGCGATTAGAATGTTTTCGGGCTTGAGATCACGGTGTATGATAGAGAATGTATGCGCGTAGTTGAGACCATAGATGATTTGCAAGAAAACGGTCAGAGCTTCAGAGGGATCCAAGCGGCCTTTGTTGACCAAAAAATCGAAAAGCTCTCCGCCTTCGACGTACTCAAGAATGAGAAAGAGCTCCCTAGTGCCCTCATAGACGTCGTAGATACGTAGGATGTTGGGATGGTTCATGAGCTTCATCATCGTAATTTCTCGATCAATTCCTAGGCGTTGTTTCTCTGTTTTAGCTTGTTGGGTAGCAAGAGAGGCACGAGAATTGACCAGCGGTGCAAGCGGGAGGATTTTGACGGCAGCGAGCTGTCCAGTTCGTTTGTGCTTGGCGATCTTGACGCGACCAGAAGCGCCTTTCCCAACGCACTCGCCTATAATCCAAGGTCCAATACACTTCGGATCCGTAGCGTATTCGAACGCTTCGGCACCACCAGCCGCGGCCTTCTCCTTTTCCCAACGAGTTCCCAGCGGTGCTTTATACATGACAGGAGGCGCGCGAGGTGGACTTGAAGATACTGGAAACGCCATAGCTGCAGAAGAGAGACAGAAGAGATGTGGCTACACGAGCAGCTCGGCCAGCAAGCAGCAAGATAAAGGAACCAGTAGAGTTGGTGGTTGAAGGTCGGATGGAACGGTCCAGCGAAACGTCACGCTCCGTGACAGTATTTGGGCGGGATCACGTGACATGACGACCTCACTTAAATTTCACCCCCGAAATTTATCAGCAGCATACGACGACGACGCTTACGGACCTATTGCTTCTGTATTGGCGGTGGAACAGAAGATTGAAGGTTGTTAATCAGTACTTTCTGGTTTTATTTCTGACTATATCACAGGTGTACAGTTGGTGAGCGACATACCGTCGGTGCTGTCTGGAATTACCAGCTACACCATCCAGCAACCAGTATTCGTCGTACACATGCATGTCATCTACGCGGATTTTAGCCCGTCTTCCATGGGCATCTCTTGGGCGTCTCAACTGGAATCTTGTATCCCGGACCATCGCCCATTCTCGGCAGCGTCTGGACGGTGTAGAAATGTCAGATGAACCCTACCCTTCGGAGCCACCTGACCGTAAAGTTTTCGAAGAACAGGGGATGAAGGACTATTCAGCTGTGTCTGCGGAACTGAGGTCGCCTCCACGGACACGGGCGCCAGCGCAAGTCCTGATCGACCTCGTCCGTACTGGCGATTGGGAGCTGGCCAACCGCGTTCGCCTCGAGATGGTTGAAAACGGGACGAAGATATCCCTGAATCCCATCTTCGAGAAAGCTGCCTTAGCGGCGCTACAGTCTCTACGAATTGGAGACGATCTTACGCCCTTCACAGTTTGGCTTGAGCTGTGTCCCGACGCCTCCAACTCACCTCCCAATCCATTCCGAGAGATACGTGATTATCTTTGGAAGGATCCTTCAAAAAGTGTTACTTCAATATATCACTTCGGCATGGTCCTGGGGAAGAAAGGTTATACGACATTGGTCAAGGAAGAGGTCATTCCTGCTATGGACTTTGTTCCTTCACGGTTTCACCACCGCAAGAACATGTTCATCAAAAATCTCAAGCAGGCACTTCTCCCCATCATTCTCCCAGAACCGTCGCCTAGCTCTCTCATCTTTGAAGAGGAAGATCACCCCGACTATGCTAGCGTAGCCGAAGCTTCAGTCGGCATCCCTCACAAAAATCTTGGTGACCACTTAGTAGAGCTGGTTTCCGATCGGAAATACGACGAGGCAAAACAATTTTTGCTCGAGCTTCGCGAATGCCACACCCACATTCCTTTTTCGCCAATCTACCAGGCCGCCGCCAAGAATGCTTTACGGCATTCGGCAAACGCTACGCAAAGTCTTGAAGATTTCACGGCATGGTTTTCCCTCGTCCCTCTGTGCCATGACCAACCCCTCGAAGAGTTCACGGACATTCGAAAACTGATTTTTCATGCGCCTCTGACAAATATGTCCTTGATCATCCAGTTTGCAATTATATGCTCGGAAAAAGGGTATGCTGATCTCATCGGCAGTCAGGTTGTTCCAAGTATTATGCGTTTCGCGAGCCCCGATGTTAGCAAGCAGTTTTACTTGCGATTTGAAGAACTGCACCAGCGGTATCTGAAACAGTATCATGGACGGTCTGCCGGCTCTGCCTGGAGCATATTCCAATCAGTTATGCGCGGTTCAGCTATCCGATCCTTGGCTTACGCAGGTCGGATAGATGCGGCTATAGGTATGCTACCTCCCAAGAGAGCGACATACTTTTTGTCGGCTTATACTTGTGATGTTCTCAACAATTTTCTCGTCAAAGCCGGCGACGCCAAGTATCTCCCTCTCCTTGGGCACTTGAGGGCTATGCGTGCCCAACAGCTTGGACGAGATGATTCTCTTCTACAAGACTATGCCCAATCTTCGATCACTTCGCAGTTCATTTCCCAAACACACACACTCCCTTACGATGAGCGGTCAGAGTCTCTGGCTCAGACTCTGCGTTCTATCAGGACGTCATTCTCATCCGGTCATGCTCCTCCTCACCCATCCACTCTAATCAACTTCTTCAATGCGTACGTCGACTCGGGACGTTCGCGCGCCATCGATCTCCTCCGGCGAAAGGCGCTTCGTTCCAGTTTCATAGTTACCACTGTCTTTGTTTTCACGCAGATGATCGCCTACTACCGACAGAATCAGCACCACCTCGTCCTTCAAACGTTCGTCGACAATTTTTATATTACAGGCGTACCTCGAGCCGAGGTAATAGCTCGCTTGAAAGTGCAGCAAGGTGTTCTTGCGTCTGTGCCTTTGCCACATCGTAGCAAGTTGTGGCCAACAGCCTACCATACTGCTCTCGTCTGGCATTCCCTTGTCGCCACGACATCAACCTCGGTTAAAGTTGAGGTCCTCTATAAAAAGCTCATCGCAACCGCTGGTGGAGAATACTCGGACCATTTATCAGAAACTCTAGCCTCTTTTAGTGGTGTGGAAGTGCTTCAGACTCCTCCCGGAGTTAACAGCGTCTGTGCTGCCGCATTTACGCCTTTCATGGGAAAGCTTATGCGCTCATCAGGTGTAGAGCGAGGTGCCAGTATTCTAGCAGATATGTTGAAGCTGGGAATCCAACCCACGGCATATCACTTCACCGAGCTCGCGGGTTATTACGCTTCTACGGGTAATACCCAGAGAGCCCTCTTCCTTCTGGGCCGATTGGAGACGGCCTTTGACCAACAGGGTGATAACGAGGATATCGAAGTGCCTATCTCTGCGAAGGATATACGCGAGACGGAGACTGGTGCGGCGTCTTCCGAAGAGCCACCAGCGTCTATTGGACAGACTCGACCGGTACCTGCGTCGGTTCCCAATGCGCTGCCCGTACCTTCGTTTGTCATGTACGTTTCCCTGATGCGGGGGTTCCTTATCTCCCAGAATCTCGACGCGGTCGCAGAGGTCAATGAGCGTATGCTCAAACGATACGACTATACACCCGGGCAGAACAGCTATCTCGATGCTGTATATTCTGATTGGCAGATGAAGCAAGAAGGAAACCGGTATCCTGTTCGACCGTTGCCTGTGATCAAATATAGGGGAGTACAGTCGGTGAGTAAATCGCTTCTCTTGCGGTTGGTTACTAGAATTCATGTGGCGTAACGACGACAGGGCGATGACGCCGCATGATGCATAAGTACGCGTCCAGTGGCTCCAATCAGGAATATACCTAAACGCTTGCAGATCGTTAGCCTTGCATCTAGATCATAAGAGATTATTTCTTTCCAAGAGCGGGTTAGATGGAAGTGGTATGATGGCCTTTGAATGTTTTGCATGCATGATCAATGCTATCGGAGGGAGAAATGTATCCTGATCCATGAATAGAGGAAGTCTGGATTGATTGACCGTCTCCGATAGTATAGTCTAAGTCAAGAAGTAAACTACTACCGACATCGATGGCTCATTGTGAAAAAGATGTATAGAACAAGAGAGGAAAACGATGAAGGAGGGCAGGAGCAGGAGGTATTCAACACCTTGGGCAACACCGCCGAAGGAAAAGTGACGCGGTAGTGGTTCTTCGGGAAGCTCTGCTCCCATCGTAAATAATCGACGAGATACTGATGTGTCCGACATGCCGCCTCCAACGGTGTACCTTGAGTGGCAGTGATAGATCTTTATGTATATATATAACATATAATCGCAGCAAGTATATAGCCGACTTTAGCTCAGTTGGAAGAGCATCAGACTGTAACTGGTTACTGATTACGTGATCTGGGTGTCGCCTGTTCGAACCAGGGCAAGTCGGATTTTTTTCCTACGATGTATTTTTGTTCTGTCGAGCGGAGCAACGCTTTGAAAAATGGAAGAATGAGGCGAGAGACGCGCTTGGGCTGATCGCGTGACATGACGACTGATCGATCAAAGTTTGTGACGGCGTGACAACATAGCATCCGGAATGAAATGGCCGGTGGAGCTTTTCCAACGACCACTTACTTTCGCCACGATTGCGTCTCGTCGCCACTCATAGCGACAACACCTCGCCCTAACGGTGCAACTTGCCATGCTTGGCCCCTTCCTATCGTTATTCCTTCTGCTTTTAGAGTTCCCCGCACCGGCGACAGCGTACTCATGGCGTTTTACTTCAACACCAACTCAGTGCCAAAACCTCACCGTCAGCATCTCTGGCAGTGACGGTCAAGGGCCGTATCGTATCCTTATCGTTCCTTTCGGATCAACACCGTTTGCAAACAACACAGAAGTGCGGCGGATACTCGACCAGAAGTTTTCTTCAGACTCGGCGACAGAAGTCACCTTCCAGCTCAGTTATCCCGAGAATTCACAATTTGTTGCAGTGGTGAGTTTTTATTTCTTGATTCTTCCCAGAGGCAAATGGACTGCGTTGAGTCACTGCGGGCCCTTTTGTCGCCGCGTTTGGGGATAATAGCTTCGGGTTTCACGCTAACGCGGTTCTAGGTCAGTGATGCGACAGGATTTGGGTCGGGCGGTACAAGTGTAGCTGCACAAGTCACGTCTTCCTCCGACACCTCTTGTTTCGACGCTTCCAAGGAAGTCTCGCCAGAGTTTGTCTATTCCATTGAACCGTCAAATCAAATAGTACAGTGCCAACAAACGCGCATATGGTGGGACCCCGCAAACGTTCAAGGGTACGTCGAATAGTCTATCGTACTTGCTACATTCCGACCTTCCCAACCAGAACACCCAATTTCCTCGGCGTCATCCCTGGTGGACAGTCGTTCACTGTCCCGGAAGCCTCCATGACCAACGTCACCAGCCAAGGAACGGGGTTTTCATGGACGCCTTCTATTCGTGGAGGGACAACTCTACTGCTTGTCGGCGGTGACGATCGAGGCAATGGTACAGCGGGTAGTGCACTCTTTACCGTCAGCAGCGGCATCTCGAATAACAGCACCTGTCTTAATTCGGAGAGTCCAAGTTCGACACCCGGCACTCCTGCTGGTGGAAGCTACCCCACGGGCACGAGCGGCGAAGGCACAGGCAGCAACAGTAGCAATGGAAACAACACGGGTGCCATTGTAGGTGGCGTCATAGGCGGTGTCGTGGGTGTCGTTGCCCTTCTTCTCCTGCTCTGGTTTCTCCGGCGCCGACATCGGCAGAAACAAGAAAAGGAAAAGACCGTGGACTTACTACACGAGGATGATGGTGATGAACGGTCTCCAACTGCTGCAGAGTTACCGCAGTACTATGAACCGGAACCGTTTATCGTCCCGGATCCGACTGTGGCGTCCGAAGATGGGAGGTTGAGTGCCGATGGACGGCCTATAAGCCAAGTCTTATCAAGCAGGAGCGGGACACCTGACATTCCTGGTTCGACGACGAGTATGGGTGGGGCGAGGAAGGGCGGGCTCAGGTCGCTACGGCCTGTTAATATTATCCAGCACGACGACGCAGGTCCTAGTGGTCCCCCAATGGCAAGAGAGGAGGAAGAGCCAGAGACCATCGAGCTACCGCCTGCTTATACGAAAATCCGACAATAGGTCCTCGGTATCTATTGTTCACTCACTTTTCCGACGTGGATTTCCTTCCTTTTCTATACCTCATTATCATGGTTGCGAGCATACCACTTTCTGTCCTACGGCACTATTATAACCCTTTCCTTATCATCGTCACTTTTTGTTGTTTACGTCGCTATCGAATTCACGGCGCTTTAGACATTCACGGACGGACACTCTTCCCGAGCCAACGCTCTTCGCTTTTCATATCCCTTACCCTTCGTGACATGATGTAAAATATCCCCTTCCGTAGTGTATGTTATGTGTCGTGCGACTTTGCAATCACTTACACGTCGACTCGAATAATTAAATGCTACGATTTGAAATTTCATAACGGAAGGCGCGGTGTTCACGCTGCCTCCGAGGACCCCGCTTGAGGACACTAATTCGCATCCATGCAATGAGATGTCATTGACAAATGGTATTTCGTAGTACTTTTATAGGAAGTACAAACAGCATCAACAATAAAAACGCCTGAGAACAAGACAGTCTCAATAAAAATACAACAAGCTAAGCTCTATGTAAATCGGAAATTATCCCGATTCCGCTCATCATTAATCATCGCTCCCTGACACCGCTACTTCATCGTCCCCGTCCGATACAGGAGGCAGCGAAACATCGGCAACAAGCGCTTCCTCCACCTCCGCCTCCTCCTCATCTTCTTCTTCTATCTCTTCATCTACCTGATCGTCTTCCTCTTCATCAGAATCCTCTTCCACATAGGCCTTGACTTTAGGTGTCTGCCTAGTACTGCGTCTCGTAGGGAGAGGCGAGGGTGCCCTGGCAATCTGATGACAGTCTTCAGAAGCCCTACAACCAACAGCATTCAGCATCTGGTAATCCCTAATAAAGATCATGATCTCACGACTTTACACCACTACGCTTCTTGCGAATTGGCGATGACACGGCCGGATGTTTCGAGGGTGTGTGAGCGCGCCTTGAGGCCAGGCATTGAATAATCAATCATCTAATTCAGAAGTTCAGGCACTTACTTTCTTGACGGTTTCATTGGTGTTAATACAGCCTCTATGGGCGCAAAGTCTGCGTCATCGTCCGACCTGAAAGAGTAATCGAAGTCGGTCATCTAGCTCAACGATATGAATGGCATCGCACTCATGGGTTGCAGGCACAGTGGACTTTGTTTTTCTTTTCCCCTTCACCTGACGCCGGTGATGATTTGGCGGACTAGAGTTCATACCATCAGCATCGAAGACGTCTTCTTACCAAAAAAAAGCACAGACCTTGGGGAATCATCTCCTGAATCCAACTGTGGCCGTTCGTCAGCTGCTCGTCTGGAAGCAGATTTGTATCAGTTACAGTCCGTTCACACATCCATCATGCAACTGCGCACCGCTCAAACCGCGCAGGCCTTGCGTTTCCCGCCGCAGGTACTGCGACCCCGATATATTGGTACAAGTCACGGAAGTCATCGTCCATGTGCTCTTGTTCATTGATCTGTTCCAAATCTTTGGAGAAAAGATTGGAGACGCGAATTCTGAAACATTCAACAATCTTGTCTAAAGAAACTTTGTTTAGAGGGCATTGCTGATGGAAGTCACGTTAGAACGGGTGCCTTATTTGTTGAGCGCAAACGTACATTATTGAGATGTTCCAAGAGCACACTCAATTTTAAAATCGTCCGAGGATCCAATTCGGGTGTTATGTTTAACTGGCTGAGCAGCTGACAGAGAACCTTCCTTTCATTATCTAGTAGGTGTGAACAGCTAGTTCAATCAGAGTCAGGGAGAGACCTGCTCACCGTCCTTGTCTTCGTCATACAATGCAAGCAATATATCAACCGCCAAGTATGCGTGAAAATTCTTGTCAGGTGTCAGTTCTGGCATCCTGCAAAAGTAACTCAGCCGGGAGAGCGGCTTAAGAGGTGAATCATAGACTAACACGTCCACAGATTGCTCTGGATTGATCCAATCCATGAGCAGCAAAGAAAATCGCTGCAACGAGATCATTTCCTGACCCTCTTCCAATTCACCGTGCAGTTGGGAAGCAAGGTTGAATGCGTCTATGAAAATCTGCAACTCATGAATGACAATCTCCAGATTTATAAAATGGCTTACCGATTGCATCCTAGCCTGATTTTCTAAAGAGGAATAACAATAGACAGGAAAGAAATACGAGAGACATTGTCTCAATTCAGGGTTGTCAGATGTGGATGGGGATATATAAGTTAGTACAAGAGTGGTAAGAACCTGATAAATAGTATTATTAAAGTCATCGCAAGAGTGTGAAAAACACGCACCTTCGGGTCCTTAACCAAGCCGGCTAGAAGCAATTTGCATATACCAATGCATAAGACTGCCTGGACAGCATTAGATTCTTCGACTTCAAGTGTCTGGACGAGGAATGTGATAATCTGCTCGGCCTAAATGTGAAGTTGGTATCAGCGAAATATGAACACACAATTCTCTACAACGATGCTCACCACTTCCTCCGAGCGGCTCAAAAATTCATACTCGTACATAACAAGCAGGTCGAACACAACCTGCAATACCTTCAGTCTGAGCTCTTCAGGGGCGTTTTGTATCTGGCTAAGAAACAGCTGGAATGAGCTCAACGCCATGTTCTATTTCAATTCATCAGAGGAGCCCAGAATGAAGGAAGAGGAAGCGTAAAAACCTTGGCAATGAGACAACATAGTCCAAGACTGACGAGCCCTTTCTCTCTCATTGGCAATTCTTTCCTCTTGACGGCAGGAATAATAAGATCAGCCAACATTCCCTCCAACGTAGAGTTATCCTCAAAGGTCTATGAACCATAATGAGAAGAAAGCCTCGGATGTACGAGGGATCTTACCCCGTGAACACGCTCCAGCATCCCAATGCATAGAGTCAGACACCTCATATCGGTCAGGTCAGCCTCCCGTTTTTCCTCCACTGACATCGATTCAAGGTTACGCATACGCCGCATCGATCCCTCCTTACGGATGGTGGTCTGAGTCGTATCGCTCCGGCTAATGTCGCCCTGTGCGGACATCAGGTCTGCAAATACAAGGATAAGTCGATACCACTCACTTCGGCAATTTCATTGTCATCGTCGTCACGTAAATCCACGACAATCTCTACAATAACTCGAATGAGTTCGCGTTCTGAGGGCGAGATCTCTTTGAGTACGTCAAGACACGGTTCAATCAAGCCGGGCGGCAGTTCCGGGTGCGCCAGCATATTCTCTGTCCGATGAACGAATCAAATGAGATGTCTTTGGAAGAACGAATACAAACTGATACTCACTGACGACAGAGAAGGCCTTCCGCCTTCCCA